GTGTAAATTCATTTTTGGCTTCACAAATAGCTCAAGTTGAACAAGAAAAAAATTTGGTCATCACATCTCTACTTTAGTAAATCTTCTTAATTCGTGGGAAATTCATGCATTGAATCATTTTAATTCATAGAAAGCTTCGATCATATTTGAGGTTTTCTTCTGTCTCCATCTCTCTTTGATTTTGGTAAATCCGTCTGACTCTCTTTTAATCATAAGAGTTCAGGGAATTTTCAACTTATGTGACTCTTGTTCGGTCCACAAAGCCACACAACTTATTATCTGAAAATGACCGATTGGAAAAAGATGACTACCACTACACCCAGAATTTGTACTTATCTTAACTTCACTATCATTTTCTTCCCTGTATTTTTGTATAAACTTGATACTAGTCAATAAAATAAAAAGTCGTGTGAAATTAAATTTTGGCTTTTTATGTACATGCATATTAGTCAACCTAACGTGTCTTTTTAAAGAATCTTGGGAAGCACTATAGAGGATGAGTCAAACATAGTGAATGTTTATCCATGATATAAGAAGGCCAAGCTTCTCCACAAACACATCAGCCGCGCAATAATCCTCTCTCTCTATCTCTCATTCATTAACACACGAAAATTATGGAGCACAACAAGGTTGATACAGAGCTTCAAGATTCATACGATAATCAACAAAAATGGGTTCTTGATTCTTCTACCGATAGTAGAGGACAGATTCCGCTTCGGTCTAGAACCGGAGCTTGGAGAGCTGCACTCTTCATCATTGGTATATATATCGAACGTTTCAAAGAGATTCTTGTATTATGTATATAAATAACTTTATTGGTGAACTGTATACATCAGTGGCGGATCAGTTGCTAGGTCACATGACCTTGATAAAGTTCATAAACAATAAATAATACATATAAAATAACAAAGATTTGGTGGAACAACCGGTAAAGTTGTAGTTAATGACCCACCGTAATCTGGGTTCAAAACCTCCATGCTACATTTTTGAGTAATTTTTTTTTTTTTAAACTTAACTTGACTAGGTAAAAAAAGTTTCTGGGTCGCCACTATATTGCATAATCTGGTTTGATATATGTGTATAGGTATCGAATTCAGCGAGAGGCTAAGTTACTTTGGGATCTCCACGAACTTAGTGGTCTACTTGACGACCATTCTTCACCAAGATCTCAAGATGGCCGTAAAAAATGCAAACTACTGGTCTGGTGTCACTACTCTGATGCCTCTTCTTGGAGGCTTCGTCGCCGATGCGTATCTCGGCCGTTATGCAGCTGTCCTACTTGCTACCACCGTTTACCTTATGGTAATAATTTCTGAAAAACCGGATATATATTATTATTACTCGAAGACTATTATCGACCCGTTTCAATACTTTAAATATAAACCTTATATACACATTTTTAGTTAGTGAACCTTGTGTAGTAGCTACGGTATACTCTCACATTCAATTCAGTTATACCTAAAAGTATTAAGACTCTGAATGGAGAGCGAAACTAAAGACGGTCGGCACACAACGTGAAAAAAACCACACTAACTAATAACACTAGTATACATAGTTTTTTTTTTTTGTTTTTGATAATTGGGGGGGGGGTGTCCGGATTTTTACCACTCAACTAATTTTCCAAGATGAGTGTAGCCGTCGAGTAGTCCACTCACAGGTTTTTTAATGGACCTAAAACGTGACACCATTTCGAGTGGCCAAATAGAGGTGAAAG